AGAGGTGAAATTCTTGGATTTATGGATGACGAACTTCTGCGAAAGCATTTGCCAAGGACGTTCTCATTAATCAAGAACGAAAGTTGGGGGATCGAAGACGATCAGATACCGTCCTAGTCTCAACCATAAACGATGCCGATTAGAGATTGGCGGATGTCTATTGGATGACTCTGCCAGCACCTTGTGAGAAATCAAAGTTTACGGGTTCCGGGGGGAGTATGGTCGCAAGGCTGAAACTTAAAGGAATTGACGGAAGGGCACCACCAGGCGTGAAGCCTGCGGCTTAATTTGACTCAACACGGGGAAACTCACCAGGTCGAGACATAGCAAGGATTGACAGATTGAGAGCTCTTTCTTGATTCTATGGGTGGTGGTGCATGACCGTTCTTAGTTGGTGGAGTGATTTGTCTGGTTAATTCCRTTAACGAACGAGACCTCAGCCTACTAAATAGCTACGCGGGGACCTTTCCTCGTGGTCAGCTTCTTAGAGGGACTGTTGGACGACTAGCCAACGGAAGTTTGAGGCAATAACAGGTCTGTGATGCCCTTAGATGTTCTGGGCCGCACGCGCGCTACACTGATGAATCCAACGAGTCGCTTGCCTGGGTCGAAAGGCCCGGGCAACCTTCTGAAGGTTCATCGTGACGGGGATAGATTGTTGTAATTATCGATCTTGAACGAGGAATGCCTAGTAAGCGCGAGTCATAAGCTCGCGCTGATTACGTCCGTGCCTTTTGTGCACACCGCCCATCGCTCTTACCGATTGAATGGTCCGGTGAAGTGTCTGGATTGCGGTGATCTCGGCGATTTGTCGCTGGGGGTGCTGTGGGAAGTTCATTGAACCTTATCATTTAGAGGAAGGAGAAGTCGTAACAAGGTTTCCGTTGGTGAACCTGTGGAAAGATCATTGACACGTGAACGGGCGATCTTCAGGGTGTGGGATGCTGGCTTGCTCGCCCTTCCACCGCCCTTTGCCCCCATCCTCGCTGCATCCGCTTTTCTCTTTTGTTTCAGCACTATCTTGGGCTTAGTGCCCAGCTGGCGGCTGGCCCGGCGCAGAGGGGGGCATGGTGTAGGTCGAGGGTGGGGGGACTGGGCAGGGTACGGGGCCTTGTGGCGTTGCTCCCCCTTCATCCCGTCTCGCCTTCGCAGGTTGTTACCTCGGCCCAGCCCCACTCTCGACTTCTGGTCGGGATGGCGGTTGGTCCGGGAACGGACAGCCCTGCGGGAGGGTTAGGGGCGGGATGTTGGGTGGTGGCGGCTGTCCTCGGCCTGCGTACCCCCGCTCCTTCCCGTCTCAACTTTGTCCAGACCTCATTTCCATCCCGGCCTCAACCTCGGCTTCGTGCGGAGCTTGTGGCCTGTTTGGGGATCGAGGGTCGTGGTAGAGGCTAGGGGCGGGGTGTGTTGCAGGGTCCTCGGCCCCTCCCCATTTCGTCCTGCCTTCCTTCCCAACGGGGTTCTCCTTTTCGGACAGATCGGCGTCCTCGACACAGTCGACGTGGTCTGAATCTCGGGGTGGAGGGCCGTTGGGGGAGGGTTTTGGTCGTGAACGGGGCGGTGTCGGGTGGGGGGGGGGAGAAGACAGTGCTTGCACCCTCGTTGCCCCGCTGCTCCCCGGTGCCCTACCTGGCCCCCCGAAAGGGGGGTCGGACGGGCCCGTGGCAGCGGGCGGTGGCGAGGGCTTTGCAACTTCTTATTGATATACCTGCTCTGATTTGTCGTTGTCCAGGTTGACGGCCCCCTTCTGTTCTGGTTGAGGGTTCGGTCCTGTCGGAACGGCACCATATTGTAGAACTCTCGGCAAACGAATATCTTGGCCCTCGCAATGATGAAGAGCGCAGCGAAATGCGATACTGAATGTGAATTCCATAAATCCGTGAGCCATCGATACCTTGAACGCACGTGGCGCCCAAGGCTTCTGCCGAGGGCACGCCCGCCTGAGCATCATTGCATTCCTCACGACCTTAGCACCTTCCGTTTCGGAGAGTGGTGGGGTCCGTGGTCGTGGCTTCCCTCGCTTCCCACTTGGAGAGCGTCGATAGCCTAAAGTGGAAGGGAATTGGAGAGCATTCCGAGCGGGCCTGTGGGGGCCGCAGCCCAGAGTGGTGGCATTGAAAATTTTAAATTAAAAAAAAAATGCAATAACCTACAAATAACAAATAAATATGCTTATTTTCGCTGGTTGCATTTTCTTTTTCGTTTTTAATAATAATAAAAAATTATTCGTGAATTTGTTTTTTAAAAACATTATAGGGAGTTACCCTTTGACTATGTGTCCATTCAACATGCAACAAAAAAGTTTCAACACCGTTGCACCCGTTGAAAAGCCCTTGGGCCCCAGTTGAAATCCCCGTTGAAGAGTACAACGGACCCTCCCCGTTGAACAGTATTCAACGGGGAGGGCGCATCGGATCTCAGACACGTCGCGGAGTGCGCGTGGAGCAAAAAAAGAATTTCATCCCGTTGGATTCCCGTTGAATTCCCATTGAATTCCCGTTGAATCCCGTTGAATTCGAGTTGAATCCCGTCGATTTTTTATTATTATTATTATTTTTTATTATTATTTTTTGAAAACCTCTAACCACGAAGTCCAAGGGTCTGATCCTGCCTACCGTTGTTGAGTTCAGAAAACTCAATGGTGTGACGCCATGTCGACATTAATAAATTAGAGAGAGAGAGAGAGAGAGAGAGAGAGAGAGAGAGAGAGAGAGAGAGAGAGAGAGAGAGAGAGAGAGAGAGAGAGA